TAATCACGCCACAGGGAACATACATCGTAATTTTAGTAATAAAATTTAAATTGATTGTCCCACTTTTCATCTTGTTGGTCTATTGGCCTTAGAAAAATCTTCCTCCCCTCCAGTCACTGTTTGTAACTTCATCAAAACACAGTGTTGTCCTTGTTTCTGTCCTGTTATTGTGGAAGCAAAAGCTAAGTCTTGGTGTGTTCACAGTTTGTTAGTGTTTTAGTCATCTTGGGGAAATTCTCTTTTTACTAAAAATGGTTTGGAAGAGGATGATCTGATCATTTCAGCAACCCGGTTAGCAAAATGAGTGAGATATAGACCACTGATGTCCAGAATACTTGAATACAGACTATTTTGATGAATAGTAAACTAGACTGTGTATCTTTTAATGACAGCGAGCATGTTCATGCATTTGCCAAGGGTGTATGAGGCCCTACTAAGTGCGGCTCCCTGTTGTGTCTGCTGGTGATCCAGACGGCAGTGAGCCAAGCTGGCTTGGTATTTGCCCTCGTGGAGGTTACTCTTCTAACCATCATCCCGCTGAGAAGTGTCATGGCTCTCCGAGGCATAAGAGATGAGCTGAGTAAATACTTAGTGTTGTCCCTTCAAAAATGAACCCTTGATTTTTTCCTGTTAACTCACCATTTTCATCTTTAGCACAAACATTAAATGCTTAAAGACTTCTGTTCATTGGAATTTTCTGATTTAGTATGAATTACAGGCATTTGGCATTCGTCTGACTGCATACCTCTGCTTTTAAGCACGGTGACTATTAAGAGCCAGAATGAATAATTAGAATAGACCTCATATGACGCCTGTTCTCTGGAGAAATAATTTGTAACCGTGCGATACTGATGTCAGCAGCATCTGTTTGTAATCCATTTGCTTATGCACATTTTAAGTCGTATCCCTCAGAGATTAACTGTATTTTAAAGATACTACCCTTTGGCCAATCAGGGTGGGATACATTCCCAGATCTAGTCAGGGTCTTCATTCTGACTTGGAGTCTGACGGAAGTCCACTTCTGATGTTATTAGCATTCACTTTCTTGCTTTACTTTGGGGAGCTTTTGCATAAATATTCATATGGTATTTTTTAAATAAAGCAGATATGAAGAAGATAAGATTTCCTTAACCCTTCCCCTAGAGTTTCAGCAGGTGCCAAAATCTCTAATTCAACAGATGGACAAAGACAGTAGAGGCCAACGTAGGTAAGAGCATACACAGGCTCTGTCTGGGAGCCCTGTGAAAGGAGCAAGCCATAGATGCACAGAGGACATGGGTTCAAGTCCCTCTTCTCCTTCCTATTAACAGGTCACCTTACTTACTCTGATACCTGATAGGAAGGTCAAGTGATGCATTTGACTTGAAAGCACTTTGTAAGCTGAAATTAAACAGGTAGCTTTCTTTCTGTGTGAGAATAACGATGGGGTACAGTCCCTGAAAAAGACCATCATGGATGCTTCAGAGAGGACTTGGTATCTTCTCTGAGAAGCCTCTTCACCCTTCATTTGGAAATACTTCGAGTGGCAGTGATCTTTCTGAGTAGGTTTCCCTCTGTTCTTGGCAACATAATTCACCACTTTTGTGCCTATTAAGCTGTATGTGTCTTACTACAGGGAATTTCCTTTGGATCATACTACTTTCAGCATGTTACACTGTACTTGCTGCATTTCCTGGACTTGTAGGACATGAAAGTGGATCTGAATGAACCTGCTTTGTGCAAGTCTTAAATTCTTCATATTATTTTAATACTTGAGAATAATGGGAATCTTGGGTCACCTTGCAGAGCAGAACATTTATAAATGTTATTCTTGGTCTATGTGAATATTTTCTGTTTTATAGAATACTCTAACATATTGAAGTTTTTGAGTAGAAGCACTGACCTCTGGGGTGGTTGCTATGCTTAGCAATTCTATGCTAAAACTCTTCTGAAGAATCAGCTGGTGAGCTTCGGTGCGCTGCAAACAGAACCTAAAACCTCAGACAAAGAATGCATGACATCCTTGCCCAGCACACGTACAAAGTGCTGATGGCCACAGTGATCACTTCAATTCTGGGCATCAAGTCTTTCCATTCACACTGTCTGGCACACACTTGTGCTTTAGTTTGGAGTTGTTGTAAGAATATTAATAACCTCAAAATAGATGATGAATGCCAAAGCAGTGAACCTGTTGCAAAGGCTAGTAAGAAAAGGCACATGATGATAATAAAAAAATTTAAGGTAAGTTTTTAAAAGTCAATGGTGCAAAAAATGTTGCATGTGTACATGAGATGAGTCATTCAGCTGAAGGAATAGTTCTGAGGAACAGAGCAACTGGTGCAGTACGTTTAAGTGCTGTGCCCATGAAGTTGACATTATTTGGTGAGAGACAAGATGGCGGTAATGTTTGACAAAATAGAAAATACTTTTGAATACATGGCTCAGAAGATCCCTGTCAGATGCCGGTTACCCTGGTGCTAATTCAGCAAACAACCAAGAGCCTGTTTAGAGCTCAGAGGCTGAGCACAGTGAAGATGCTGCTGACCAAATCTTGGTGCCAGACTCTGCTTGTTACATAGGCGTGCTAGTCAGCTTTCCACCACCGCAGGACCCTGAGACAGTCAGTCTACCTAGAGAAAAGGTTTATTTTGGCTCACAGATTTGGAGATTTCAGTCTTCCAGTGATGGCTCCATTGTTTTGGGCCTGTGGTAAGGCAGGGCACCATGGTGTCAGCACATGGCAGTGCAAGGCCACTCAACTCCTGGCCAGGAGGCAGAAGAGACACAGAGGAAGAGACTGGGACCTGACAGTTCCCTTTCAAGAGCATGCTCCTCGCGACCTAAAGACCTCTCACTATACCTTACTTCTAACTCCTGGTAGTGACATGGGCCTTGGGGGACATTTGGGATTCAGACTGTAGCAACAGTTCCAGGTTCTTCAGATTCTGAGTACAGCTAGCGTATTTGGAGCTCTTATCTACAAAATGTGAGGCGGTGTCAAGGGAGGATATTTACCTGCCTCCTAGTTGTGAACCTGTAAGAGACTGGTAGTCTTTGTAGCCATCTCCATGGGCCTTAGAGCAGTGAGGAAAGGAGAAAGAGTCTGTTTTCATAGCTTATAGTCCTTACTTTAGAAATGCCTTCAAAGATTTTCAGTTATCTTGGATTTTGCACAGACTTGTACAAAACCCACTGGAACATTTTTAGCTTGTTGATAAAGGAACTGGTTAAGGTACTGTTCTATGTTAGATGAAAAGCAGCTAAGCATCCTTTCACAATATTATAATGAGAAAAGAAGTGGAGAGGAAATGGAAGATAGTGATTGGGAAACCTCTGGACTTACTGCTTTGCAAAGTAATAAGCATAAGGAAACTTTTGATCCATACCTCATTTTCTTATCACTACAATGTCAACAAAGTGGAAAAACCGCAAACTTTGGCACAAGGCACCTGTGTGGTCCTGAGCAGACTACACAATACCTCTGAGTCTCAGTTTCTTCATCAGAAAATTGGGCATTTTGTTGCCCATCCATCGGAAATGTTGTCTGAACTAAAAATACTGACGCAGTCATACAGCACTTGGCAATAGTAAGTCTTTAGTGATGGTAATCACTCATTAAAGCAACATTAACTGGACCACCTGTGATGAGTAAAAATAGCTAAGAAGAGAGCACAGAACGTGCCACTAGCATTTATTGTGGACAAGTTCATCAGGTAAACTTTTGAAACAAACGGACCCATTTTGTGTAATGGACAAAGCACAATATAAGTTACTTTTTCTCTTATGACAGTGCAGGCAGGGTGTTCTGGCTCAGGAGGGATCAGCTCCACACAATCGTGCATGGCTTCCAGTTTTTTGTGACCCCAAGATCCTTGGTGGCCACTGTCACCATTTCAGGGAGAAAGAGTTGGGAGGAGTGTGTGAAAGAGGTTTTAAGCGCCTGACTAGAAATAGCAAATTCAGTTATCACCTGCATTGTGCTGAGATAACTTATTCCCTTGGGCACCCCTCACTGCTGGGGCAGCAGTACTGCTGGGTAGCCATGTGCCCAGCTGCTATGAAAGGGGCATTACTGCCACACTGGTTTTCACATGGCATAGTAGGCACCTCACACCACCTGATGTGGGGCTCCTCACTGAATATTGGTACTCACCTTCTGCTGAAAATGTGTTACCAATTTCTGATCTGTGCCAAAATTCAAGAAAAAGCCTCAGGCACAAGGCATATAAGTCATGGTGATGCGGGTTGTGGTTGGCTACGTAGGACTGTCACAGGGTGCATGGCTACCTAGGCTGAACTTACTCTGCCTAGTGCTCAGGCGAAGGACAGGAGCTTGTAACTGAGTAGGTCTTAAGAGGTATCTGTTGTGATCCTGCCAGCTTGGTCACAATGCCAGAAAGGCCAGTGCATGCCAGGGAGGAATGACACTAAACAATCTAGAAAGTGGATCTGGGAAGTTCCCCTGTGGGAAATCCACCTGGAGCAGTATAAACCTATAACAAGGGCAGAGATAGAGGAGAGGTGTGACCCAAGCAGGGCTCCCAGGTACCGAGTGGGTGCCCCAGGAATATCTCCAGGCCTGGAGGGATGCCCAGTGTTATGTAGCTAAATGCTGGAGATTAAAGCATTTGTCTTGTTTGAGCAAACACAGGGGATGCAGATGTCAAGCAAGAAGGGAATTTAAATTAGGGAGTAATGTTGGTGTCTAGAAGTCATTGCAAGGCCCTCACGGCCAGATAAGAGTAAGACCCACCAAACTCTTGGCTCCTGGCTTGCCAGCAGTGCTTCATTTCTGTGCCTTCCCTAAATGAGGATGCTGAGGCTTCATGGACCTGATGCTCAGGTCAGATCTGGTTCAGAAGTTCAGGTGCCATTAGGAAGGGAAATTTGGGGTGACTATATCTCCGAGGATGGTGGACAGCGATAGAGAATATAGAAACTAGGGAAGCATTGACAGATTAGCTTCTGAAATTGCATCACAGCTCTAAGCACTACAAAAATGTGTTTCATTTAACTTATAGTCACCCTCCAGTATGTCAAGAAACGTTCAACAAATGTTGGCAGATTCCGTCAGTCGTATGAAGGCATATGGCGTTCACCAGGTAAAAGACTTACATTCTGTCTTCAGGGGGCTAAATGCACAGCCATTTCCACTAATGTGTCACAAATTAGTTAATTAGTCTCATGCAGAAATGAAATGAAGCAGCAGAATGTGAAATCTGTCTTAAAAACTGCAAATGCAGCTATTCACCTTTACCCATTTATCTGAATTGGGAACTTCTTGGATGTCATGGAAAGAACAAATGGCAGGATGTAGCTGCCGAACTCCTCTTTGGAGAGCCAAGGCAGGGAGGATATCCTGGGATCCTGCAGATGTGGAGGGAAGACTGATCTCAGAGTGACAAATGGCACTCTCCAGTAGAGTTGCTTGTGTTTCTGTGAACCGGCACCTTGAAGGAGCAGATTCTATGCTGTCCATGTCCACCAAGCCAGAGCTCCTGCAGGCACTCCGTCACTCCCCTGTCCATCCAGATAGGATGTTTTCCCTCCAGACCAACCCTTCCCTGCCTTGCTTTGTTGTTATCAGATCATACACTGCTCAAAGCAAATGAGATGTAGACTTGCACTTAAACTACAGTTGGATTTGACCCACAGAACATCTGAAAAAGCAGGAGGAGGAGGTTCTGAATGGCCCCAGGCCTGAGACTGGGCTATGGAGGGGCCCACCCCAACCCACCCAGTCCTGTGCATTCTCTGATTTTTCTACAGGGATGTGTGTAAATTGGGGTAGATTGCAGCTTTGAGATTTCAAGAAATTATGGTGAAATTTTGGAATTCTGTTCCCTATACGCATAACAGTGAGCACTCTATCCTTGAGTTCCACATTTGGGAATTCAACCAATCACAGATCAAAAGTGTTTGAAAACAATACTGCATCTGTACCGAGCATCTACAGGCTTTTGGGGGGTCATTATTTCCTAAAGAAAACACTTTAATAAATTGGGTATGGTGGCTCAGGGCTGTAATCTCAGCATTCTAGGAGGCTGAGGCAGGAGAATGCAAGTTAAAGCTCAGCTTGGCAACTTAGTGACTTAGGGAGCCCCTATCTCAAAAAATATATAATAAATACTTATACCATTTACATTATATTAGGTGTTATAAAAGATGAGTTAGAGTATAAGGGAGGATGTTCATTTACAAAGGGACCTGAGTATACAGAGATTATGATATTTGCAAGGGTCCTTGAACCAGTCCCTTATACGTACTGATAACCGTAAGTACCTTTTCTTTTTTTATATTTTAAGAAATAAAAGAAGGAAAACATATTAACAAACAGAAATCCATTTACAAAATAGCATAAGAACAATACAAACAAAACAGAATTACAGACAAAGTTGTAGGAAATTAACAATGGTTGTTGTGTTACTTATTGATATCTTCAAAGTGGTTTCTCAAGAAAACAAATAGGAACAGTTAATGATTACTTGTTTGATCAGTCTTGTATGTACGTACCTTTTCTAAAACAACAGCAATAAAAGATACAAAGGAAATTGTCGGTAGCACTGCCCGGGTTACATTATATTATCTTAAATGACAACAGTTGAGAAAGCTAATCCATGTACTCACTCAACAAATGTGTATTGAGTGTCTATTTGTACGAAGCACTGATGTGGACACTGGAGACACATTTTATGAACAACTTAGATAAAATTTCTTTCCACAGGAAACTTATTTTCTGAGTGGGAGAAACAAGTATTAAATCTATGGAGTCACTTGATCCTAAGTACAGTTGGCGAAACCAAAGCAGGATACAGGGACCGAGGACAGTCGCAGGGTGGGAGAGGGTGCTTTAGAGAGGGGGTCCCAGAGGGCTGTCTGAGCAGATGACACTGGAGGAGAGAGGGAAGAACCCAGGGAGGATGTAACATGGGTATCCGGGAAAGGACGCTTCTGGCAAAAGGAGCAGCAGGGGTAAAGGCACTGAGGCCGGAGCTGGCTTGGCGTTGCTAGGGAGCGCCTGATGATTGGAGAGAATGAAGAAGCAGATCCCTTCCCAAGCTTCTCTAGAGCCAAGGTAATGACACAGAGCTTCCTGCTCTAGAGATTGAATAACGAGAAAGGTCAGTGCCAGATCTCATCTGCTGTTACTCTGTGGAGCTCATTAATTTTGTCTCCTTCCCCACCGCGACCTGTAATTATGCTGCAGATTAAAAAGGAGCAGATTTACTAAGCGCAGCCTCCCAACATCTGAGCAGCGCCACTCGACCACGCACTACCTGAGTACTGTTCACTTACTCTTCCTCTTCCATCCTTCTCACTTTTTAAACTTCCTCCTTATCCTCAGCCCCAATATCCATGACAGTCCTACTTTGAGGTTATAACTCTGCTTCCTAGAACCTTAAAAATAAATACCTATGCATCTGGGAGATGAACAGAGCTTCGCTTCTAAGTTCTTTTCTGTTTAAGCTTGGAAATCACTAGCAGCACTTTTATGTATTTCAGGTACACAAACAGCTTCCATGAGCAACAGCAACTTTTAAGAGTCATTTCGAACACTGAAAGCCGATCTCTGGTTTTTAACATGCAAACAACGAGGTTGGCTCTAGGTAGGAAAACTACATAAGAAAAATATAGAAGATATACAGAAGTTTAGTTACACCTGAAGTACAAATCTATAAATTACCACTGCATTCACTGTGATTTACAACTTCCCATGGGGATCAAACACACGTTTTACAGCATCAAGGTTGAGATTTTAGTTATGGTGAAATAATTTCACAGCAAGGAAGCCTTTATCTTTCTGTAGGAAAATACAGGGAAAAATATCCTATCCCTTGTGAAGGAGAAGGACACAAGGTCAGGCTTTGCTGACCCCCTCAGCCTGCTTTATTAGCTAACCAAGGCTTGTATTGATTCACCAAGTTGTAAAATCTGTTTTGTTATGAATGCTCAGAAGGCTGTATCCAGATTTTTTAGAAAGGACTTTTTAGGTGTAAGCAATTTGGTGCGTTCATTTCTCTTTAGTATGAAGTGAATTCCCTTGATTGTTAATGCCACAGAACAGTGTACTTAGAAAAGGTAAAAATAGTAAGTTTTGTTTTTTGTTTTGTTTTTTTTTTTTTTTTTTTTTTTTGGTTTTTCTCCGGTACCAGGAACCGAACTCACAACCTTGCGCTTGAGCTAAATCCCCAGCCCCGTAAGTTTTGTTATATGTATTTTCCCACAGTTAAAAGAAAGAATTCCCTTTGTAAAGGAACACTCACATGTACTACTCTGTATTTCTCCTCTTCAAAGGTCACTTAAAAATATTTTTCTGGTTGGGTTTGAACAAAACATACTCCATTTTGAACCCTGTAAGACTGTATGTTAAGCGACATTTTGGGACACATGATTCCAGAGCATGTGGAGAGCAGGCTGGGATGGCTCTGGGAATGTGCTCTGGGCTGTGCTCTGGGAAGGCTCTGGGAACCTGTCAGCCACTGCGGAGTGCAGTTTACACAGGTGCTGTGAAACGGTGTGTACTTCGGGGAAGGATATTTGGAACAGTTAAGTGCTGTGCCCGAGGGAAGGGCCTATTCATTGCATTCTCACTGTGTGTTATCCATTGTACTTGGCACTTTCTAAAATTCAGCCCTCGTTGTATCTCTACCAAATATTCTTCCTTGTTTTACTCGTGGGGAAACAGCCTGCCAGAGGCTCAGTGAGGTCCCCGGAGGGATGCAGACAGGTAGCAACAATACCAGCTTCCTGTATTGCTGACAGCATCTGCCTCTTCCGTGGCTCACAGTTCAGTAGGAGTCGGGTTTGCCTGGCAACCTTGTCCTCGCAGGAAACTATTGGATTTGCTTACCAATGCTCGTTTATATTTTTTAAAAACAGAACAAAGAATCTGTGAAGACAAAACAAGATGAAGAAATAAAACAAATAGATGACGAGAAAACCAAGCAGATTTATAAGAGCTGGAAAGAAGATTCGGAGTGGCAGGCATCTTGTGAGTACCCAGGGGCCTCAGTAGCATCTTTGAGCCTCTCAGCTGAATCTTTACACAATAAAATGATCAATCTAAGAAGCGCTGAAAGTGAAGCATCAAGAGATGTCTTAACACTGAATTGTGCTCGAATGTTCTTACCAAGTGATTACGCAAATGCGTAGGAGCTCCTTTTGATTACCAGAAGGATTCTCAATTCATCTTTAAGAATGATGATGTATCTAGGTGATGGAATGGTATCTAGCTCTGCAAAGCATGCTATGGAAGAGTTTTCCATGACTTTAGCATATATTTTTATCTCTTTAGGTTGGAGAAGCAAAACTATAAAGTAGCATGAAAATCACTTTTTAAAAACCTAAATTATAAAGGAAAAGAACTGAAAGGTTATTAATATGTTAACATTAGTTTTCTTGAAGAAGTGGGATTTAAGATTATTGATTCAATGATCAATAATTACATGAAAACATTTTCAACATTGCTGGTCATTTGAGAAATGTAAATTAAAACAACACTGAGATTCCATCTCACTCCAGAAAGAATGGCTTTCTTCAAGAAATCAAGCAATAACAAATGCTGGAGAAATTGCATGGAAAAGAAACTTCACTGTTGGTGGGAGTGCCAGCTGGCACAACCACTGTGGAAATCAGTATGGAAATTTCTCAAAATACTGAAAATAGAAAGTCTGTTGTCCCACCTATTCCCCTTCTAGGTATCTTCCTGAAAGAGTTAAAAACATCATATTACAGTGATACATGCATACTCCTGTTTCTAGCAGCACAATTCACAGTAGCTAAATCTTGGAAGCAACCCCTGTATTCATAAATAGATGAATGGATGAAGAAAATGTGGTATTTACACACCATGGAGTACTACCCTCCCATAAAGAAATATGAATCTGAGTCTGGTGTGTTTGTGTGTGTGTGTGTGTGTGTGTGTGTGTGTGTGTGGTAGGTACAGGGAATCAAACTCATGACCTGGCACTTGCCAGACAGGCACTATGACACTGAGCTGTTTCCCCAGCCCAAACTTGAGTCATTTGTAGGAAAATGGATGCATCTTAAAACCATAATGTTAAGTGAAGTAAATCAGACACACAAGCCTAAGTATCACATGGCTTCTCTTGTATAAGAAAAGCAATATATAAATAAAGTGCAAAATAAAAAATAGATAATTGGAAGTAGGGAGATAGATTTTTCTCAAGTGGGAAAGGGATCAAGAGGAATGTAGTATCCTCCTGAGGAATGTAGTAACTATATACTGCAAAGATGTACTAAGAAGAATTAAAACTTTTTAAAAATATTTGAATTTTTACTTCTTGTTATTGTGGTTTGAATTTTTCCCCCTAAATTTTTAGCAGTGAATGCACTCTTTAAAGTTTCATTTCATTTCTAATCTATACCCATATATCCCCATTGTTCTTATAGGGTATAGTGTGATGTTTGGATACATGTAACTGTGTGGTGAAAAACGTAGGGATGAGAGGCGGATGTCCTACGTTTCTCTAGTACCTTTGACCCAAGGACCCTTTCCTGAGCTGGAATTGCCAGAAATAAAGCCCATAGGGGAATAAGCCCGTGCTCGTGAAGGCTGAGCCCAGGATGCGTCAGAGTGCCAGGATGCAGGTTTGAGAAAGGATTAGGGCATCCTGGACAGAAAAGCCTAAACTGACCTTGAGGCAGGTCAATCCAGAGAACGGAAGTGGTAATCTTTGTAGGATATCGAAAATCTTAAATTAGTTTCCAGTCTCATTACAGCAAATGCCCTTAAAATATCTTTTGTGAAACAAAAATATTTGCAAGATCCAATCAGTGGCTACCTTGTGCTGTGCACTGAAATCCCAGTATCAGGGGGCATTTTTGTCATCTCTTTGAAGTCAAATTTAACACAATTTAACCCATAATGTCTGAAGTATAAATACACTCAGTAAAAATTACTTTCTGTTCTAAATTAGTCTTTAGCGCTATGTGGCTAAAATAACCCCAAAGCCCCTCTGTATGACAGAGTGATACTAAAAGGCAGCCGTGTGGTAAACTTTATGCATACCAACATGCTCTACAACGATCTAGAACATACTTAACATTAAGCATCCCTTTACTTTTTCTCATCAGGCTAATTCACATTTGGTTCAGCTCACAGTAAGCCCCTCTACTCTCTGCCCTGAGCCTGGCCACGTGCACTGAGTGGTCCTGCCTGCCAGGTGTCTGCTAGTGACCCAGGGCACGTTGCACCCTGAATGCGAATGTGTGAGGGATGCGACCCTGGCCTCTTACTGGTCCTTGCCACTGCCCACTGAAATCCTTGCTCAGGCTGGGGTTCATCCCTTAGTCTTGCCAACTGCAAAGAATTCTGGCCCTTTGTCCTCTTCCTTTTTTTCTGCTTCTCAAAAATCCAACTCCCAAATGAAAAGAGGAATTCTGCAGTGACTATTGGGTGAGCTCTCGCATCTGGATAACAGGCACTGATAGTGATTATTCGTGAACATAAGCAGATGATGGCTCTGCAGAGCCTTTTCGCGCCCTCTTGTGCATCCCTGCATCTCCTCACGTTCTGCAGCCCAGGAAAGCCTTTCTCAATCTATGTTGTTGTTCTAGTGCGAAAGTCAAAAGCAGCTGATGAGAAGAGGCGCTCCTTGGCTAAGCAAGCCCGAGAGGACTACAAGAGGCTGTCCCAGCGAGGAAGAAGCGGCGAGGGGCTGCAGAAAACCGGAGTTCCACAGAAGCCCAGAAGACCTCCCCTTCCACCCAAGCCCCAGTTCCTCGCCCCAGTGGGATGCCCGCAGAAGCCTCTCGGGTAAGAAGCCACAGGATGGCTTTGTGCTAAGCCTTGAGATGTGCTGGTTAAAGACCAAAGTGCCCTGAGATGTGCAGGACCAGCCAGGTGCTCCTGTCTGTAGCCTCCCCTCTGACCCTTCCTGGGAGACCCGATGTGGCATTCACCCTTCTCTTAACTGTGAAATACCTGCAATAATAATAGTAATGCTCTATCACCAAGAGTATGGTGACAGTGAGCATCCAGTTAGATGACTTCCTGTGCCCCATACCCTCCGAGCGGCAGCAGGTGAGCAGGTGAGGGGCAAAGAGGATTTCTTAAATCCTTGAGATGCTCTTAGTAAAACAACAAATACGAGCTTAAGGACTTGCCGAGTGTCACATCACTAGGACCACATCTCACTGCTGAAAAGGCCATGTGTGATTGCTGTCTTTGTTCTGGATATACTGACAAGTTCAGATTTTGAGAATTTGGAAATTCTGTATTTGCTGACCATGGTACCTTCACCTCCTAGGTTGTGGGGGCATTAGGAAAACAATTTTGGGGGAAAACCTTTGAAGAAGAGTACAGTGATAGTGTAGCAGAAACCACCTCTCGTTCATGTCTACTGATGAGAAAGTTCTTTTGCCCTGGTGACTGATACTATAGTATTTTTAGATAATTTGTTTATTTGGAGGTACTGGAGCTGGGAATATAGCTCAGGGGCACAAGCTCCTGCCTGGCAGGTGCAAGGTCCTGAGTTTGATTCCTGGTACCAAAAAAAAAAAAAAAATTCTCTATTGAGATGGAATTGAACCCAGGGCCTTATGCATGCTATGCAAATGTTCTACTGCACTATACTCCTAGTCCTAACATTTAGAAAGGAAATATTTAGAACAGTTATTGGTTGAACGAGGTAGAATTTCCGTAACCTTGCCTTCTGAAGTGGAAACTAAAAAATACTTCTTTGTCAGGTGTGTGGTGAAATGAAAAACAAGCAAAAATCTCCCTTACTTGGAGCTGGTGGTTCTTTCTAAGCTCATTTCTTTTTTAACAGGGATTAGGACCTAGAGGAAACACGAAGGTGGACCTTTTCCTGTACTGTAATTATTTCTACTTACTCTACTGAAAGGTTTCACTTTGAGATGTAGGCACCAATTCTAAATGACCACGTTCTACAAAGTGACAGTCTGAGGGATGAGTTTTTCCTTGTAGATGATAAAACAAGAAGATAGGATATGTCCCCTTAGTCCCAGGTCACACAGGTGTACCGACCTCCTGTCCCACATGGGCTCATCTATGTGTGTGCTGGCCACGGAGCCTGGTTTAGGGCTGTCTGTATAGCTCCCTCACTGTTACCTGGAGTCTCCCAGGGTAGCATGAAAATATGTCCCTTTGCCAGAGTATTTTTAGAACACAGTGTATTTGACTGACAGCAATGAAGTGGTCCATAAAAAAAGAGCAGTTCTTATAAGCTATGCTCAGCTCATCTTTTCCAATTTAAAATGCTGCATCAAGTGTTCCTTGTGTGTCAGACGAGATGGGGTTAGGCTCAGACTCCACAAACTGCAATGACAGAGGTCAACTAGTAGCCAGCCAGGAGTGGACAGACACTGGCCTCCAGTGTCTTTGATGTTTTGCTTGGTCTCAAAGGATTTTATGGAGAAAAAGAATCTCATTTGGAAGCTATATTATGAATATTTATCATAAAATTTCATGCATATGCAGTGTCTACTTCTTGGGGAAGTCAAATGTTATAGGATATTTTCTCCAAAGTGCTCTGGAAATCATGAGAGATAAAACATACATGTGTATTCACACAGATATGTACATGTGTCTCGCATACATGACACATGTAACTGATGGTAGTGTGTGCTACTATAAAAAGCATAAAGAGCTTGAAGTTAACTTATATTTCAGGAAATTCCAACTGCTAAGTCAACCATTTTACCATTGTTGTTTTGGATTTGAATTCAGCTCAGTGGGCTGTTATGTAGAACTTGGAAATATGTTTACTACACCATAACGTTGATTTTTGTAGTGGAAATTCATTCACATTCCACATCTAGAGTTCTGCTACTGAATTTATTAAAAATGATTATGTTGCTTAATTTTTCTTCCTAATCCTCAAGAACTCTTCCTCCTTGAACTTCATATTCCTGAGACTGTCTTTTAGCTGAACCAAACCTCTTCAAACTGTGGGAGAGAAAGCAATTTGGGAAGGTCAGTGGGAACAGAGAAAGAGGAGAAAATCAAATAACAAACGCTATGGAAGAAATTTATCTTATCACATGTGATTTATTTTGTTTGCAATTATATACTCTGCAGGAAAATACTTTTGGGGGTATATTTCAACTTTTTAATGGTTCTATTCTTACATTTTAATTGGGAGTTAATGGACCTTCTAATTCCTATTAAAAATGAATTTAAATCTTATGTGTTAACACAGCAGTGGCTCGCACCTAGGACCAACCACTTAGGTCTTGAAGTCAAGTGACAGATTAATGTTCTTTCCTCCCTGCCTTAAGGAGTTGTATGATGGTGGTTTGTAGGGGGCCTGACCTCCCATTAGCTCAACCCATGTAAGCAGATGTTGGAATGCATATAGTGCTCTCTCATTCTCACTCTTGTTTTCTCTCTCTCTCTGTCTGTAGCTCTCTCTGTCACTGTCTCTGTCTCTGTCTCTCTGTCTCTCTCTGTCTCTCTCTGTCTCTCTCTCTCTCTCTCTCTCACACACACACACACACACACACACACACACACACACACACAGAGTGGTCTCTCAATATCTGCTGTGAATTAGTTCCAGGATCCCCAAATGTATCAAAATGAAGGGTCTCAAATTCCTTATCTACAGTGGCACAGAGTATTAACAGTATTAACTTGTGTAGTGCTCCTGCATATTTTAAATCATCTCAAGATTACTTACAATGCCTAATTCATTGTAAATGCTATCTAAGTAGTTGTTATAGTGTTTAGGGAATAAATGGTAAAGAAAAAAATCTGTGCATGTTCATTACAAACACACTTCTTTTCCTTCATATATTTTCTAGAGTTTGTTGAATCCAAGGATGCAGAGCCTAGTATACTGAGGGGTGAGAGTATATAATGTGTGTGTGTGTGTGTGTGTGTGTGTGTGTGTGTGTGTGTGTATATACATATAGTTAACTCTGATCTGCAAACTGTCTTACATATCACAGAAATCAGGGAGTGTCGAGGACAGCGTCTGGCTCTGCCCAGGAGGACATCATCCAATGGTTCAAAGAGGAGCAGCTTCCCTTTCGAGCAGGCTATGAGAAGACCTCAGACACCATAGCTCCCTGGTTCCATGGTGAGTGCAGAGATCTCCTCACAGGGTGATTCAAGCCATGCTAATCCCCTAGGAAGACAGGGAGGAAAAAGCTTGCTTTTATTTGTACTGCTCCAAAAGAGTCTTTCAAATTATGTTCACAAAGCAGTTTTTCAGAGGTTTTTAGGAGGCTGCCTTCTCATGACTGTTTAGAAAGAGGTCAGCATTCATGGTCGCCGTAAGTGCTGTGGGCTAATTCATCACCACAAATGCAACCCTCACGGTGAGTGGGAAACAGAGGGCTTCCTCCTGATTCACAGAGAGCTCCTGATTGTGGTCCCAGGACACAGAAACCTTCCTTCTTCCTGGGTGTGAGCTGCGGTTGTTGGGTACAGTAGGATGCGGGGTTGGCTGGCAAGAAATCAGGCTTTCACCCAGTTCTCCATTCAGCAGTTGCATGACTGTGTGCAAACTCTCTCTTTCTCTGTAGCAGAGCAACTTATTTGAGCCTCATTTTCCTCGTCTCTTAATTGAAGGAGTTGAACTTTGTGATCTTTAATTTAAAAACTCCATGGCTTTTATCCCTTGTTTCTGGCATGTGGCTGAGACAGGTAACAGCCAATAAATCATTTCTGTATTTGACTCAAGAGAGCTGATTAATTGAAGCCCCTCTGTCTACCCAGCTCGTACATCACTGCCCTCTCAGTTTCTTAGATTTCAAAAGTTGATGCCTTCACAAAGCTCTCCATTTGGGGCTGGGGATTTAGCTCAGCAGCAAAAGCGCCTGCCTGGCAAGTGCAAGGTCGTGAGTTCGGTTCCCGGTACCGGAGAAAAACAAAAACAAAAACAAAGCTCTCCATTGGCTTCTATAAGGTCTGTGGCTAAGGAGAGGTATAGCTCAGTGCTGGGGAATTACCCAGCATGTGCAAGGCCCTGGGGCTCACTACCTAACAGCACCTGTGTGCAAAAAAATCTATGGTTCAACTGGACCAACTGTCTAAATAGACATTAAAGGTGTTTTAACAATTTTTAGCATACTTCTCTTGGAGTACCTCGGCCTGAATTATTTTTAAGGCATTGCCTATTTTAGTGTTATTGCTTACATAAATAGACCATATGAAACAAGCTCCCAAATACGTAGCATGGCAAACTCTTTTAAAAAGAACAAGATTATTTGTGATAGCTTTTCTCCTGAGGGTCATGTCATACCCTCCTTCCTTTCTGTTCTTCTTTGAAGACATTGTTGTCAAAGATATCAGAAGGAACCATGGCCAATGACACGTGCTTTTACCATGGTGATCGCTGCTGTCTGACAGGGCCTTTTTTCAAAAAAATGGTTTTTTTTGGTACTGGTAATCAAACTCAGGACCTTGCCAGATGTGGTGGCTCATGCCTGTAATCCCAGCACTCAGGAGGCTGAGGAAGGAGGATCGTTGTGAGTTCAAGGCCAGCCTGGGCTACAAAGTGAAACTTGAAAAGCCAGTTGAGTTGAAAGCCAGCCTGAGCTGTATAGCGAGAGCCTGTCTTCAAAAAGAACCCCCCCCCCGCCCCGCAAAAAAAATAAACTGCCACCACCAACAACAAAAACCAATTCAGGAACTTGCGCTTTCCAGGCAAGTGCTGCTCTACTGAGCTATGTCCCCAGTTCCCCCTTTTCCCTCGTAAAATAAACACTGAGGAAATCAACCCCTTTGTGGTTTCTGTGTCCTGGGGCAGAAGATGCTGCCATCTCTGATTACAACAGTGGGAGGCTTTTTTAACATAAGGGAATAGAAAATTGAAAGTGTTTGTTGATGTTATTAAAAGTCTGGTATTTGGACTGGTCATTCTGTTAGAAACAGTTGCTGAAAGAGACAGTCACAAGTGAATCTGATTTACTTCACTTATGAGAAGATACAAAATGTACAATGGATATTGCAAAATGGGAAGAAATTGTTCAAAAGGAAAGAGAAACTGGGTGGGGGAAAGGAGAAAAGAAGGAAGGGAAAAGGCAAAAAGATATTATACAAGATAGCTGTAGTACTAATTTCTCTTTTGTGCTAATATTATTTGGACAAGTTTTCATGCCTATATCTTGTAATATGAGTAACTACTTTGAAGATAACAATACGCAGTGTGTTAACCATTGTTACTATCCTATTATCTTGTCTAGAAATTTTTTTTTCTCTTTAAAAAATAGAGACAAAGTCATAGTTAAGATAGTAACACTACTAATTGTTACTAGTTCATTGGAAAGAAAGATTTGTGCATATATTGTTTGATCAATCTTTCATGCCTATATCTTGTAATATGAACAACTACTTTGAAGATAACAACATGCAATGTACTATCCAAGAAAAAGTTATAGTTGAGCTAAAAAATCCAGTTGGAACTTCAGTTAAAAAATATTTTTTATATATAATAACCTATAAAATGTGCCCTTGTTATTTATTCTCACTTATACAAGTTTTTAATCGTAGTTATGAACAAAATAAAGGTTATAATAATGAGTGAATACAGGGGATTTAGCTCAGTGGCACATCGCCTGCCTGGCAAGCGCGAGGTCGTGAGTTTGATTCCCAGTACCGGAAAAAAACAACAAACAAATAAACAAAAAATTATAAGTGAATACAGTCAATATAAATCCTCATCTTCAGTTTTTAAAAAGAATTGTACGTTTCCATATAAAAAGCTAGTAGGCCATACTTTATTTATCTATTTGAAATAGAGTTGTTTATTCACCAGGAAGTCCATCTCACAATATTGAAGTGGTGCCTCATTACTGGTTTATGACCTTTTTTCCCTTGGCATTTACTTTGTGAAATAAATGTCTAAAGATGCAGTTTTTCTCACCTTAATTTCCACAACTCAAAAATTTGTACTTCCATCCTCTGTTCTTTCTTTCTTTCTTTCTTTCTTTCTTTCTTTCTTTCTTTCTTTCTTTCTTTCTTTCTTTCTTTTTTTTTTCTGGTACTGGGAATCGAACTCATGACCTTGCACTTGCCAGGAAGGCACTGTGCTGCTGAGCTAAATCCCCAGCCCCTCTTTTCTTTCTTAAACTTTAGTCAAGGATGAGAGTAGGTAAGTCTTCTGAAATGAAGGCTTTGGGATTTTCCACTCTTGCGGCTAGGTGGAAGAGGCCATGCTATTCACTGAGAGACGGGGGAAAGGAGAGTGAGGGAAGGGGAGAAGAGAAGAGAGGAGGGTGTGTGCATGTGTGGTATGGGTGTGTAATGTGTTTGGGGCACTCATGTGAAATATCATTTGATAATCGGATGAGCGGATCAGTGCTAAACATAATAGATTGGAGTCACCAGCATGCAATTAAAAGCATGGAAGAGAATGAGATGTTCCACAAGTGAGGTAGGAAGAATGAGAAGAGAAGTAAGCCAAGCACAAACCATGAGGAGCACAAACACAGCAGCCTGCTCCATGCTGTGGAGACCAGCAGCAGACACCCAAGATCTTTAGACCTCCTTTCCCACTTAGGGTTCTGATGAAGCAAGATGGTGCATGGCTCCTAAGTATCCTGTGAGGGTCCATGCTCTGTGACTAGTGAAACATGGTCTTGTCTCTGAATTCCTAGATAGAGAATTTTGATGAAAACCCCAAGGCCAGGAGATCCTGAAATGAAGGCACTGAACTCTGCTTCCTGAGCTTGTAGATATACAAAGTCTTCCCACATCTACTTCTCTGTCAGCAAGAATATAAGCCTTCTCGATGTGCATTCATAGAACATGGGGTCTCAGATTTCAGTGGACTTTTCGTCCCACAAGGGGACTTGTGCAAAAATCTTGTGTTAGTCCATTTTCTGTTGCCATGACAAAATACCTGAGGTTGAGTAACAGATAAAGAAAAGAGGTTTATTTTGCACCTAGTTCTGGAGATCCAAGAGCACAGCACCTGCATCTGCTCAGCTTCTAGTGAGGCCTGAGTGCTGCTTAGCTCATGATAGAGAAGAGAAAGGGAAATGGCTCTGTGCAGAAGCATATGGGTGGGCCTTCCTTTATAACCCACTCTTGCAAGAACTGATTCATTCTTGTGAGTGCAAGAACTCACTCTGCCCAGGCTCAGGGGTGAGGCATCAGGCCTTCTTTTTATCCTTGAAGTACTGGGGATTGAACGAAAGGCTTTTGCACTGAGGTACTTCCATCTCTAGCCCTTTCTTGTTTTTTGAGACAGGATCTTGCCAAATAGCTCAGTTGCCCCGCCCAGGCTCAAACTTGCCATCCTCCTGCCTCTGGCTCCCAGAGTGCTGGGGTTACAAGCCTGTGCCACCACGTCTGGCTACTGATCCCTTTTAATGAGGGATCATCTCTGGAAGGCCCCACCTCCCCACACCATGGCACTGAGGACTGAGGCATCAGTATGAGTTTTGGTGGGGACAAACTACATTTGGACCATTGCGGCTCCCTTGATGAGCATCTCAAGTTCTTTCACACTTTTATCAATTTTCTGTGGTGATGAAGCACATCGCTAGCTTTCACCTGGATTGATTTGGTATTAGGAAAGAGGAAATGAAGCTGACCAGCTGGCCATCTCTGGGCTGCTTTCCACATTCCTGAATTTGGGCCCCGATTCCAGGCCTTTCACGCTGGCCCCTTCCCCGTAGGTTTGGCCACCTGACCCGTGGGAAGGACCTCCCTGCAGATGGGCCTCACTCCAACACTGTGACCATAGAACCGTGAATGCGTAGATGCTCCCACAGGTGTGTGGGGGGCCTTACAAAGGGACTGTGTAATTTTTCTGATTGCTTGATATTTTTAAAGATTACTCATTTTAACTAATCTGGACATTCCACACCCATGGTCTTTTACGAGGACTGTGAAGCGCTGCAGTATGTGTCTCCAGCACCTTGCCAGACCACACTCAACCATCACTGAGAAATTTATCTTTCTTAAGTGCCTCCTTGTGAAATAAGCACTCATATTTTATTTTCAGTTCATTCCGGGAAGATTTCCTATTATGTTTAATATTTACATGCAATCATTTTATCTCAACATGTTTTCTGGACTTTATAAATGGAAGCTGGCTCATTCATTTTGCATAGTGCTTTAGTTTAT